GGGGATACAGATTAATGTCCATTTTGTATTTGTGTATTCAAAATGGTTAGAATAGATATATAGTTACATTCTCTTAATGATTGGAGGAATTTGTTCTAATAGTGTTTGTAAATAGGATATCATGTCCGCATCTTGTACCTCAATCAACCACTAGGAAGAATGCATGCAATGTGTTAATTATTGAAACTGTCCTACCAGTTTGATTTGAAACTGTCTCATTGCTATTTGTTTCTCAATGAAATTATGGGAAAAATATTCAAATGATGGAAATAAACAAAAAAGGGGATACAGATGAATGTCCATTTTGTATCTGTGTGTTCAAAATGGTTAGGATAGATATATAGTTACATTCTCTTAATGAATAGAGGGATTTTTTGCAATAGTGTTTGTAAATAGGATATCATGTCTACATCTTGAACAGCAAATAACCACTATGAACTCAGTATGCAATGTGTTAATTAATGAAGCTGTCCTACCAATTTGATTTGAAATTGTCTCGTTGCTATTTGTGTGTCAATAAAACTATGGAAATAAAAGTGGACTTTAGGAATTTATCTGATGAGAATATGAATCCAAAATGCATAGATTTTTTTTTGACAGGTATCTTTTGGGATGAAAAAGAAGAGTCCATTCAGCTGTATTTTATTTCTACTCTAAGGAAGTTAAGCCTGAAATCCATGTCAATTTTCAGAGGACCCCTCATTTCCCTGTGTAGTGGTTAATCTTGAGTGTCAAAGAGACACATGGAGAGGGGATTAGCCCACAAGGGCACTGACCCTGTGCACTGGTTAAGCCTTCTAATGGGCTCATAACTGAATGAGCTGTTAGGAGCAAGGCCTGGTAGAACAAGAGGGTCACTGGGGCTCTGATGTTGGAGGTTAGATCTTTTGCCCTGGCTCTCTGTTCTTGGCCACCATGAGGTAAGCATCTTTGCTCTACCATGTCCTTCCACCATGATGCTGATTTAGCTCAGATCAGCCATGGAACTGGCCCACCATGAACTGTAAACTCTGAAGCCGTGTGCTAGATATACTTCCCTTCTGTCCCAGGGATGGACAGCTGGTTGACATATATTATCTCCATCTCTCAGGTTTTTGTTTTGTTTTTATTAATTTCTTTTTTAAAAATGTACTTAGTATAGGATCTACATGTTCTCACTACACAGATCAGACTTGTAGTGATCATTCCTGTTTTTCAGCCTATCAAGTGCTAGGATTACAGGCATGCACCACTATGTCCAGTCTCATTTACCATCTCAGCACACCCCGGAGGCAGGGCAGGCACTGCAAGCCAGAGATTGAAGCCTGGTCACAACCTGGCCCCTGTGTATGCCTAAGCAAAAGCTTTAATCCACTGAACTATCTGGCTGGCTTTCATTAATTTCTTTTATTTTTGAACTGGGCATAAAACTCAAGACTATGCCAGGCAAGTGCTACGCCATTGAACTATACTTCAGCTTCGAATTTATAGAATCAAGGTGAACTGAACTTCCATCATCTGAGAACAACTGTAAGCCTAAATTCATTTATCTTTTTGATACAAATCTATGAAATATTGAGTAAAATGTTTCTCTGAAGGAAAATGTCAGTCCAGTACATTCCGTGTGTTCCTAGACATCCTGTAATATTTGCTGTTTTCACAAAGTTATTAACGATGTATCTCTGTACCAACACAAATAATTTACTATGGGTCTCTCCCCATGCAAATCAAAGGACTACCCAAGTTTTATTATTGTAAAGACATTTAAAAGACAGAGATGACAAAGCATAGGACAATTTTAAATTTTATCTAGAAGTCCAGAGTACAGGGACTCACATTTTGAGTTGAGCTTTGGTTGAATATGTTTTATTAGTTGGAATGAAGCTCATTTACTTGCCTATGAGAAATATGATTTTCTATGGTGAAAAATCTCACTTTCTTCAGTTTCCTCTCTTGACTTTTTTTCACCCTATTATCATTCCATTTTTAAAAATTATTTTTATGTGTCCACTTTTTAAAGTTATTTTACTGAGAAACAAATAGCAATGAGACAGTATCAAAACCAATTAGTAGGGCAGTTTCAATAATTAATACATTGCATATTGTTGTCTTCTTAGTGGTTATTCATAGTACAAGATGCAGACATGATACTCTGTCTACAAACACTATTAATACAAATCTTTCTTCTCATTGAATTAAGAGAAAGTAGCTGTATATCTATCCTAACTATTTTGAATATAGATACAAGATGGTCCTTTATTTGTATCCCTTTTTTGTTTACTTTTCAAAGATGGGTATTCCATTGCCATTTAAATATTGTAGGTGCTTGAATTAAATAAAATATTCCAATATAGTCCAGTAGTGCATAATAGTAGTGAGTTATCCATAAGACTGGCAATGTCAGAAGATGTTGACTTGAGCCTTTTACAGATCAGCATATTAATATGGCTTTACTTTTTATACTTCATTTTTATACTTTCCTACTGGATGGTTAAGACCAAGATAAAGAAGACCTATATAACAAGAAATGTAACGTTTGTATCTGATAAGTTCAGTCAAATCCTCTCAGGATTTATCCAATTGCTTGACCAATTCACTCTCTGTGAAAGCTTGAGAGAATGTTTTCCCTCCATGTGACTCTCCTTAGGCTATGTGTTCACTTTTGATGTACATAAGGATTATATTCATCATAGGAAATTTGTACCTGTATATACTACATCTTGATTCTTTTTTTTTCTCACTCACATAAATGCTCTTTAACTGCTTTTTCCCTCCTCATTTACAAAAAAGCTTTGTTTCCATTTATTTGCTTCTATTCTTTTTTTCCTTTCTCTTCCTTCTGTTTCCCCTCCCCTTTTCATTTTCCTCTTTCCACTTGAACATGTTCTTCCTATATCCCAATATCTATCCTCCATTCTGGTACTAATATGTGATTTTGGTTTCTTATGCAAAAGAATAATAAAGAATTGAATAGAATTTCTAGCCCTAGTTTTTTAAGGAGTCTTCACATTGATTTCCACCAGTCTACTGATTGCATCAGTCTACATTCCCACTAACAGTGGAGAAACATTCCTTTTTCCCCACAACCTCTCCAACATTTGTGGTTGGTTGATTCATGATAGCTATTCTTTCTGGGGTGAGATGGTATCTCAGTGTTGTTTAATTTGCATTTCATGGATGGCTAGTGATGTGGAGCATTTTTTTCATATATTTACTCACTTCTATAATTTCATCCTCTGAGAAGTGTGCATTCATCTCAGATGCCCATTTCTAGATTGGGTCTTTAAATTTTGGGGCCTTATTTATTT